CAATAAACCACTTGAGATGTTGAGAGAACACTCGAAAAGCTTGTAAACCACTTGTTTAACAGCTCATGATCTACAAGCTTTTCTCATCTTCTCCCAACATCCTGCATGGTTTTTTGGGCCAGTAAACTCATAGAAAGAGTGGTCTATTGCCTAATCATAATATAGCACACACTAGTCGTATCTAGTTCCTATTGAGCCATCATGAATGAAATCTCTATGTCCGCACGGCTGTGCGTATATACATGTAAGATGACCTGTGCAGTTTCAATGTAGCTGAAAAATTTCTGTCGAGTTTAGTGCAAGTTCCCTTTGTTTGAGTTTCCGCAAAGTTTATTCTGAACAATCCAAGCTCTACTTTGAGCCTTTGACTTTTGTCAAGCTAAAGATGTTCACTTAAGGTGATTCTGCAGAATTGCATTGCGCATCCTTACTGTGCAGAATTATACACCTGTTTAGTGCGTGCACATAAACAAAATGGCAGCTTTTTGCTATACAGCTTGGCTTGTGAGAGAGGCAAATGATTGTTTTTCTTGGAAATTAGTACTGGGACCCATAAATTTTTTCTCTTTATTTGAATGTAGTGATCAGCTCCTTTCTATTTATTAAATATATGTAATGATTTTTATTGTAGAGTAGAAAATCATCACCCAAAAACGTGAATGTAGTAAGAACTCCTGAAAGATTATTAAAGTAATAAAAGGAATCGCTGGGTATATTCAGGGTCCACCTGCTCATAAACAAATGCCAGGACCACCCCTTCTTTTATTTCATAATTTCAGTTCCCTTAGCATAAGTAGTCAACAGTAAAAGTTTGAATGAAAATCTATTGTGAATTCTTTTTTGATGGAATGTCCTTAAACTGGAGTATTTTTGACTTTGCTTGCCTACATTTTCATTATTACCGTATTTTCTCAATTAAACGCCGGACCCCGATTAAAGGGACACACTCAGCTTTGGGACCGCGCTGACCTGGACACTAGTTTTCTCATTTTGAAAAAAGTTCGCCTCAACCTGAAATCAAAGTACATCTAGAAATCCGCTTCAATCTTCACAGTGTTTTGCTTGATTTTCAATCGTTTACTGAATAGCCTGTTTTTTAGTGTGGTTTTGCTCATTCTATGATACTATTTTTATCATATTTCGTTAAAAACGGTATGGATCGCGTCTCTGTGATATGCAAATTAGCTATGAAATGGCATCTAATGTGCATGTGCCTCAGCTGACTGTGTCCCTTTAAACACCGGCCTCGTATAAACGCTGGGTCCACGAGGCCAATTTTGAAATAAATGCCGGGGGTGTTTAATCGAGGCCCCGGCGTTTGTTCAAGGCCCCGGTGTTTATTTGCGTTCCAACCAACAATTTGATTTTTCCCTTATTAATTAGCACTACCGCAACATACTAGTACGCTATGGTGTTTTGATAATCTTAATAAACGTTCAAAAGGAAAAGTCCCGCTTAACATAACAAGAATAGTAGCTGTACAACAAAATAAAACAAAATGTTCGTGTTCGAGTTGTCATTAAGACTTATTACTGATGACGCACTTTCTTTCGTGTGTTATAGTGCTCACTGTCACTAAAATCGCCAGGATCCCTCCAGCGTTTGTTTATGAGCTGTTTCAATCTTGTCATAAGTTGTCCTTTCTGAGAGGAAATCACACATTGAATAGAAATAGGGGCTTCAAGGCCGCCTTGTTCCAAGTTGCTAGCTCTGTAGGTTTCCTGTCTCACCTTAGCCGAAATTTTCCCTCCATGTTTTACAAAGAAGCAAAGAGTGAAAGAGAGTTCGATTGGGATGTGTCCGACATTTATATTCTCATTATCAGGGTCATGCACACGGTAAACAGCCATCGCACACAGATCGTACTTGCTGTTTTCTTCATGACTTACAATAAGACCTTCGCCGGTCGCAATATCTTTCCAGAAGTTAACAAGTTTGTTGTTTATGACAATTAAGGTACATTAAAAATCGTAAATGCGGACGCTTAACTGATAGTATCGAGGAGAACGATGGTGACATTGCCGTTAATACGGAACTTAAAACTTTGTATCCATACTTGCTCCTATTTATTTTATATATTTTTGTTCTGTTCAGTGCCACATGTCCTGATTGTAACGTACATGTGCTGTTTATAATGCTGTATCTTTTAGCAATAATCATCCTTCAAGACTCAGGGACAGTTTACCGAATGGAAAAGTCATTTCGTGTTGACAAACTGCCCTAGGTTTCGGAGGATGGGTGAATAAATCAGTCTGAAAAAAATGACAGAACATTGCACTTCATAAATAAATGCCGGCTTCAAATAAATGCCGGGTCCACAAGGCCAATTTTGAAATAAAGGCCGGGGGTGTTTAATTGAGAAAATACAGTATTCGAAGAAGCAAATTTTTCATTGACAATTTTAGAAACCAGGTTAAGCGTTTTCATTCAACCATTGCTCAACTGATTGTGGCATGTTAGGATCCTACTGACCTTTGTTTTCCTTCACTGAGCATTGTGAGAATGTTGCAGTTAATCACAAATAAAACATGTTTTAGCGCCTTTAAAGTTGTTGTCGCCATGTTTTAAAAGAATTGGCTGGTTCATGCTTTAAGCTGTGTGTATATCGAGTTATGGATGCACTTGGGAAGTTTGGAGAGCACTCAAGAAGCTAGAGTTGCTCTCGGCTATCCCCTCGAGTAACTCTTACACTTCTTTTGTGCTCTTCAAACTTCCCGCATGCATCCATAACTCAATATACGCATGCTAAGCATGAACCAATTCTTTAGTACAAGTCAAGAATAAAACTACTGACTAATCTTGCCATGCAAACCTCTACAGTGTGCACATAGATCTATACATGTACATCATACACAGCTATGAAGCAGTTACCATTATCTCGCCAACTTACTAATGAATGTACAAACAAAGCACCTTCCTGAAGTTAAGACTTTGCAGTCATTTTAAATATTAATTTGGATTATATTTGCTTTTGTAGCACCAAAGATAAGACGTTTGATATGATGATGTCATAACAGTGAGAATCCAGCTATGGCTGCTAACTCACCTTGCCGTCTGGGCTCAACACTGCCTCCTTGCAGTAGCCCAAGCCTAGTTGAAGATGGAAGAAGACGGTCTTGTTCAGAATCACAACAGCTAATGCCAGAACCTTTCCAGTCAATTCCTGCACAGGAACTGCTCAAGGATAGCCACTGCAGAAAATGTGGATGGATTAGGAAAGAGGGCGGAGGTCTCAAAACATGTGAGTTGCTTTGTTACATGTGTTAAATCGATCTGCTCAAGAGTTGAATATTTTAATGATGAATATAGTGAACGGTGAGTAATTCTTCATGAAATAAATATCATCCCCATTAATTGCTACACTGAGAGCCAGGCTGTCCCAAATATTCACTGTGGCAGGACTGTGATCATTAAGTTTTGAGTCACCTGTTGATCTTCACACTGTTAAACTCATCACAAATAGATGAGCTTGGGAACTGGTGCCTTAAAGGTTAGCGGGGTGCCAAAGCCATAAGCCGCTAGGAGGTATCCATGGCAACCCTGGAAAGCAGGAACCACCCAATGAGCATCCGCTAACCGGCACCGTCACACTGAAAGAAATTCAGTGGAAACTACTTACCTGAAGAATGCTTATCCCTGACCAAGAACAAAACGGGAGGGAGGAAAGGGTGCAAGAATCCGCAATGATTCGCGAGCAAAGCAGTGCAACTGATCCGCAACAATCAGCAGAATACACTACAACAATTATGCAATGAACCATAAAC